TGACACTGTGATGGGAGGTGGGAGCAGGCTGCTGAGCCTCTGTCCTGTTCAGGGACCACCAATGTCCCTGGTCACCATATGAATTCTACCCCAGATAAGTTCCCTGAACTCAGAGCACTAACTGGAGAAGAAGGAGTCTTTTGGGATGCCAAAGCCAAGAAAACCAGAGCAAAAAAATTGCTTTTCTTAGGCAACACTCTTCATCCTGAGAGAGAAAGGCGTGTGTGTGTAGAATTTATTTTTTTTCTCTTTTTAAAAATAAATCTTTATTGTTTAAAGTATTACACATGTTCTTTCTCCCTCCCCCATTCCCTCTCCCGCCCTCAAGTCACTCCTGATATGAATCATGGTCATCGGGATCAGCTGCAGTGAGAGGAACACCATCCGCTGTACCCAATGGTGGTTCAGTCATAAAATAGCTGGGATCATTTTCAGGTGCCGCTTCTCTTGAATGTTGAGGTGACATGGACGATCCCCCACTTTCTTGACCGGAGCTCTACAAGCTTCAAGAGCATCTGCCTCACGTCTACACTGCAGGGCGTATCCAGGGCAACATTTTAAAAAATATATATTTTATTGATTTTTCCACAGAGAGGAGTAGAGAGGGATAGAGAGTTAGAAACATCGATGAGAGAGAAACATCGATCAGCTGCCTCCTGCATGCCCCCCACTGGGGATGTGCCCACCACCACGGTACATGCCTTTGACCAGAATCGAACCTGGGACCCTTCTGTCTGCAGGCCGACGCTCTATCCACTGAGCCAAACCGGTCAGGGCAAGGGCAACATTTTTGATCCTCTGGATAACATCGTCCATGTCTGTCTTTCCTTGTCCCGTCCAGTCATGTTCCAACGCGGGCCCTGTCAACTCCAGTAATTTCACTGCACCAACTAGGTCATCATCCACAGGGTTCGAAAGGAGGGCATCCAACAACCCCTGAGGAGCAGGCTGAAGAACAACTGTTCTTAGAACCAGTCTGTCTGCCCCTTCGATCTCCAGTGGAAGATAAAGTTCTCCTTGAAAGAACACGAACCCATGGAATTGTCTCCGAGTTGCTTCATCCCCCTTGGCAGCTTGATCTCTAAGGTCATATTCAGAGTGTATTCTTTGAAGGAGCACTTGGCAGAAGCTGCCCCTCTGTGAGCTAATGGTCAGGTGATTGGACAGGTAACTACACAGGTGGCTCCCACGCAACGGAACTTTGGCACGGACGTGGCCTGTTGCTAGATGAGTGTGGCGAGCGGGCACGGTCATGGCATACTCAGCCCCACGTTGGTCGCCTTATGTGCTGCGCCAGCTCAGCCAGGTTCGGTGACCCTGAGAGGAGGCGCTGAAGGATTGAGAAAAGACAGACAAGAGAAAAAAGCTGGGTCTGGATGGAACGCCGCCCTCTCTGATGGAGAGCCTCTCTGATGGAGAGCTAGCGACAACGCCACAGACTACAAGCCGTGTCTTTATTTTATAGCCAGATTCCGCAGGCAAAGTAAGGGCGTGGTCAAGATGTTTACAACATTCTCGTGGGTTTCAATCCTACTCAATTACATGCACCTGAACTCTGTCAAGACCACATCACTCAGGCACGTAGGGCCACGTGTTTGGATCATAGGTTCAAGCTTACAACTATAGCTGTTGGCTATAATTGTGCTGGGAGACTTTGCCCTCCAAGCTGGGACTTGCACGTGGCCATGAGAGGACCGTGCCCTCTAATTAGCCCGAGGCTTGAACCTGTCCAAACACTGTAGCCGCTCTCCACAGATGAGATCCACAGCTTCTTGCAAAGCCTCATCCGTGGTGACCCGGCCACGTCCTGCAGCACCTTCTCGGCAGAGCCCGGGCATCGCTCCTCCAGCTCCAGGATGCGGCTCTGGAGCTCCCGGCTCTGCTGCCCCAGGTTGGCCTCCCTGTCCCTCAGTCTCTGCAGAGTGTGCTCTTTCTCGCTCTCCATTCTCCACAGGCAGGACCTCTCCTCCTCTCTCAAGAAGCTTGCAGGTTCTGGAAGTCCACCTGGATTTTCTGTCTCTGAACCTTTATCTCCTCATTCCACTCGGCTATCTGCTTCACTGTGAATGCTTTCTGGCTCGTGCATTCCTCTCCCATTTGCCTCAGTTTCCTCACCGCTTCCTGGAGCTTTTCCCTGTAGCTGGGGCCGTGTCCTCCACGAGCGCCGTGGCGTGGCCCTTGTGCCGTGGGTTGTGCTCGCAGCGCCAGCAGATGAGCTGGCCCTCGTCCTCACAGAAGAGGTGCAGCCGCTCCCCGTGCTTCTGGCGAGACAGCTCCTGCTCCAGCTCCTGGAGGGCGGCAGTGAGGCTGCCCAGCTGCTGGTTGGGCCTCAGGCTGCCTCTCTGGAAGGGAGCCTGGCATTGGGGGCAGGAGAAGGTCTCCATGCCTAGCTGGCTCCGGGAGGAGGAGTGCAGGCCCAGGAGGCGCAGGCGGCAGGCATAATTGATGCTCACAGGGTTGGCCATCAGGTGCAGGCAGATGGAGCAGGTGGCCTCCTCCCGCATCTTCTTGCTGGTGGTGGCTGACGCCATGCCTCTGCTGAAAAGCTGCAATCCGGGACCTAGAGGTTCCCCACAGCGGTGGCGGCGCACCCACCCCGCGCTTCCTGTGGACGCCCGGCTACCACGGCCCCCAGGAGCCTTGAGGTCTTATCTGGGCCACCGCCGACGCCACGCACTTGTTGGAGGAAGTCGCCTGGAGCAGCCACTTCCCAAGTCCTGGGCGGGAGGCTTAAGTAGAAATCTAAAATTTATTCTTTTATAAAAGTGATTCATAGTCATTGTTTAAAAGTTAAATACAAAAATGTGAAAGAGAAAATCAAAATAACCACTGTTAACATCTTAGGGAACTTCCCTGCAAACATCTCTCCCATGCACACACGTAATTTTCCCTAAACCAGTTCTTCTGTAGCCTACTTTACTCACTTAATGACATGCTTGTAGTAATCAGTGTTATCTTAATTTCTGGCTGATCTTCAGTGGATATAATTTGTTGTGTCTCTGCCCTCCAGATCTAACAGGCAGCAAATGTTCTACCAACCAACACAAGATTACACTTACAATGTGCTGGGAGAAGGCCCTTAAAGTCTCCCCCAGCCCTGATTTTAACCATCCATGATTTCTTCTTAAAAAGAAAAATATTCCTATAGCCTGGCATTGTTTACCCATGATATCGCATTCAACCCTCACAACAACCCATGTGAAGGAACGAATATTATTATCCCCATGTTGTGCATTGGTGCTCCCTCCCAGACTGAGGGAGGACACACAGGCTCTGAATCCGCAGTCCTAGCTTTCAGTTCAACACTGGGAGGGGGCGGTCCTTGGGAGGCCTCCACCATCAAATCATGAAGCCCTACCCCGAAGCCCTAATGTAGGAGGAGCCACCCCAACTATACCTTTTCAAGGTGCACAAGCATCTCAGCACCATTGTGTAGCTGGGGAAACTGAGTCGCAGAGAGGCAGAGGGACCTCAACATGGACGTAGAGACAGTGGTGGAGGTGGGGACAGAGTCTGGCGTTTGGAGACTTGCTGGACAGCTCAGTTTAGGAACGGGGTTTTCTGGCCAGAAGGCCAGGTGGAACCATGTCAGGGACATGAAGACACTGTATGGAGTGAAGAAACTATCTTGAAAAAAAAACCCCACAACTTTGGAACTAGGTCCAATCCAGGTATACAGCTATCTGGATCAATTAAAATTGACACATCAGAAATTGGGGTCAGCAAGAGACAGTAAATCAAAGCCAAGGGCACACATTTAGTTTCTGGGCCCCAAGAACCTATTTCAGGAAAAGCCCAGCAGCCTCTGTCCGTCGCACAATGTCCATTATCCATCAGAAAGGCCTGGACAACATTTATGTTCAGAAACAGAAATAGTCGAGGAAGGAGGGAAGGGAGAAGGAGCAGATGACAGAGTAAAGGCTGTCAAGAAAGAAGTATGAAGACCTTAGTCACATAACAGGAAATGAAATTCTACTTGGCAAATGCATTTTTTCATTTTCCCCAGGTCTAGCTGGATACGCCACTTGTCCAGCCATCTGATGATGAATGGGCCTCTGCAGTCGGGCTCCTGCCTCAGCAGCACTGCGGGTGCTGGGAGGCCTCTCAGACGCACTCTCGGGCCCCTGCCAAAGGGCATTATGGGTTCCTAGAAGCACCTGCTCCTCCATGAACCATTCTGGGCTGATGAATAGCACTTAGGCTGCTGCCTTCCCAAGGCACTTTAGAACCCTGCGCGGCCACTCACCCCCACTCCTTGTATGGAGGGCACCGAGTCTGCCTTGTTAGTTAGACGAATGGCCGGACTCCCTGAGCCCTTGGCTTCCAAGGTGCAGGCTTGGCTCCAAGTCTTCCCAAGGGACCCTTGTTCCTGGTCCAGATCTGTCCATGCATCGGGGTGGAAAGGACACCTGGTGTGGAGCCAAAAGCCCTGGGTTCGAGGCTTAGTGGGGACCACTCACTAGCTGGTCGATGCTGGGCCAGTCACTTGAACCTTGGTCTCCTCATTTGTAAATGGCTCTAAGGACACCTGCCTCACAGGCTGAGGGTCACTGAAAAGCACACATGAGGTGGCACGTTAGTGACCTTTGATGTCTAGGCTGATGTGAGGAATGCTGTCATGACGTGTGAGTTATGGGCAATGAGAAGATGTGTGAAGACAGGGAAGAGGAGGCTTACCCCAAAGGGATAAAATTAGGGGCCAACACGAGTGCCTCTGTCCTGACGGAGTGGGAAGGAGAGAAAGGCAGCTTTGGGGGAGATAGCCTGTGAAGAGGAGGAGTGAGGGGGTCCTTCTAGGAAGGTCTTGGAAGCACTAGCGCCCAGACAAAGCGATGGGCAAGCACAGAGAGGACGCGTCAGGTGACTTGGGGAGGGACAGAGGGCCCCGTGGTCAGCACAAAGTCTCAGCTTGCTGGAACCTGCCCCGGATCAGCAAGTGAGGCAGGGATTTGAGAGGCCCCAAGGAATGGCCAGAAATGGGCTCTTTTTTTAAAAAAAAAAGTATTTTATTGATTTTTTTACAGAGAGGAAGGGAGAGAGATAGAGAGTTAGAAACATCAATGAGAGAGAAACATCGATCAGCTGCCTCCTGCACACTCCCCACTGGGGATGTGCCCGCAACTCAGGTACATGCCCTTGACTGGAATCGAACCTGGGACCCTTCAGTCCGCAGGCTGACGCTCTATCCACTGAGCCAAACTGGTTTCGGCAGAAATGGGCTCTTTTTGCCACGCCACTTCATGAGATGGGCACAACAGGAAGAAATGGAGGGAGAGGAGAATTAGGAAGGAAAGCAGGTAGTTTTGAAGATGTTTTCACTTCTATTTTTTGAGTCTGAGGACATCCTCTGGAGGACGCGGGGGAGGAGGACGGCGGGAGTTGACCGCTAATCAGAACTTGTCCCTCAGTAATGAATGACCTGAGCGCAGCCTGGGCTTGGGGGACGGAAAATAAACAGTGTCCTTTGAACACACGCTAGAAATGCCACAGCAGATCAAGCATACCGTCCCCAAACCTCTTTGACAGAGGTGTGTGGGCACTTCTGCATGGTGGCATTAGGCCCAGAGGTAACAACAGTGCAGTTTGGGGGGCCTTGGGTGAGTCACTCAACCTCTCAGAGTCTCCGTAAAATGTGGGGATTAAATGAGTCAAGTGCTAAGAACCGGCACTGACTCCTGGTAAACTCTATGTAAGTGTCAGCTGGGGTTCTGATCTGAGGACCTTACCACCCATTCATTTAGCCAAACCTTCCTGTATCCTGGGCATTTGCAGACTAAACAGCTTCTCAGGGCACAGAGCCCCTCCCACTTTGGAGCCAATGACACGTGGTGCCCGTTGGCCCTCATGATGCTGCCTCTGGCCAGGCAGGGCAGATGGCGTACCCAGTGAGATCATCCCCTGGTCCCGTGATGCCTGCAGACCCGGCCAGAACTGTGTCCTGGGGCACCCTGCGTGAAGCTGGCTCCTCGGGAAGGAGGACGGGGGAGAAACACCGGGGCAGACAGAGAGGCCCACCCTGTATCGCCAAGTGAACAAAGCAGTTTTAGAAATGTGCGCGCACAGAATTGTTATAAAAAGAAGGTCATGTATATATGTGCATGCGCAGAACAGAGGCCTTCCCTGGGAAGGAAGTAGACTTATAGAGACTTTATCTTATTGGTGTCTCCTTTTTTATTTTATTAATCTGTTTTATAAACATGGCTTACGTTATAGTCTGATGGAAAGCAACAAATACATTCCCGTGTTGGCAAAACCTGTGAGGTGTCTGGGGGACATGGGAACAGCATAGCTCCTTCAACTCCACAGAGTTCACCACACGTCCCCCCGACCCCACCTCTGTGGCACGAGGTTGGAACCTCTCCCTTCCTGAGACATGAGTAGGAATCATATCACCTCCCCACCCTCCCTCCACTCCGCATCTGGCCCAGTCTTTACTGTTGAACCTGTCACTTCCCGCTCTAATTGAGCCCCAGCAGTCTCCCCATTAGACTGTAAGCCCCTTGAGGGAGGAGGAGCTTATTTTTAATCACTGTAAACAACTCGGTACTTGGTGCAGTGCTTGGAATGGGCTCGGTGCTCAATATACCTTCATGCATGCATGAACGAAAGAACGAATGTTAATTGAGAGCCACGCCTCATACTTCATCAAGTGACGCGTGCTAACTGCCACTCTTTCTCACTCCCAGACATGCTGGTTTCCCCTCCCAGAAAGCCTTCTCTACTTTCCTTCCCCTTTGTCTGGCTAACTCCTACTCAAGCTTCAGACTTTATCAAAGCAGACATTGCTTCTAGACACCCCTCCCAAATGCACGGTGCTGTAATTCGACGGTTACTAATCTCTGGGGCTGGAATGATAATGCTGTGAGGTTGTGAAGACAGCACCATGTCTTCAGCACTGGCCCAGACCTGGCATGAGGA